CTCAGGAGTCATAAAGTCCAGCATGCTGCACTGGAGTTTATTCAGTTACATTAATTGCACGTGTAGGCGCGCCCAGTGAGAAACAACTAATCACTTCTGATTGCTATATTTTATGTTAGGCTGTGTGGTTTTCTTTGTTGTAATGATGATGTGTGTGGTAGAAAAACTTAAAATACGTAGAGAGGGCTGAAACCTCTGAATTTTCAGTATTTTTCTGAACGTGGTGGTTGCTTACAACATGAAAGACTATTCTGTTTCTTGATTCTAGTTATGTTAAATGTTTTTATTTAATGTGGGGAAGACGACCGCGTTCCTCAGCATAGAATTCATGGATCTCAATACATTCCTTCTAATTTTGTTCAGTTGGGAACTCATGGGATAATTACAGAATAGAATCACATGTTTCACAGTCCTTTATATTTGAGGCAGTTTAAGACGCTTTACAAAAGAGAGTCCTGGAAACAGAGTAATATAGTGGAGGTTAAACTGCATATATACTATTTCTGATTTCATTTGATATTTGAATTCTGTTCTGTAGTATGAAGGAATATTTGGGAAAGAGACCATCTTTTATAAAAATAGCTATGAAACATGAAACTTGCAGTACAGATAGCTAGAAGGGACCTATGTTAAATAGGTTGCCCAAGATAATGAAAATAAATCTGAAGACAAAATTGGAACTATTACTAAAAGATGTTGAAAACACAAGACTTTTTGTTTCAGCTGAAGTAGAATATGTGGGGTGCGGTATTCCTATTAATTATTCTAGTGGCCCAGAGGCTAGCCATTGGCACTACCAGCTTGAATTTTTAGTTAAAAATACCATATGCTCTTGTATCCAATGCACATCTTTTTCAGTATTCAGCTGCTGGAAACTGGAGTGTATATTGTTAGCACAAGAATATCAGTATCAGCCTCTGCCAGGGTGTCCTGCAAGTAACATTGCAGTGATACATGTGGGATTTCCTGGCAGGCATGCCACGAATTGGCTCTGTACCCTCCCCCAGTGCCACTCTGGTCCCCTTTCTCTACCCAGCCTCCTGCCCTGCCTTATGTTCCCTATTCTGTGCTCCCTGCCTGATCTCCTCTGCTTTCTGCTTCCTGTTCTGCACTTCCCATCCTGATTTGCTTTATTTCTACTTCCTGCCCTTTCTGCTGCTGTGTTGCCTGTTCCTTCCATGATCTGCTCCATGCAATGCACAGAAGCTGCCCTTGCCACTTGTAACATTTGCGCCATAGGTTGACCAAATCTGTCTTAGCATATCTTATTGTGGAGCATGAGTATGAGAAAATACAGTATTCTTGGATAGTCATAAATAAAAATAACTACAAGTGCTCTCGTAAAGTGTCTGACTAGTATAAAATGATAATCATGTGGAGAACTTATTGTAATTAACAAAATGAGTATAGTGGAAAATAACGCTGTGCAAAGCACCATTGTTTTATTTGATGTCTGTTTCGCCGTTTTGAAGAGAGAGTGTTTCATTTTGTTGTTTCGTTTTGTGAAAACCGTTTCGCTGAGTTTCGATGTTTCGCCCTTAGGCTATAATGTGGAATCATGAAAATGACTAAAATTTTGTCATTTGCCTGATTTGGATGAAAACTGCAGGCATGGTAGCCCATTCTGAGGACATGACGCCTGCCAAGTTTCAAGGAGGTAGGTGCAGAGGTTTCTGGGAAACTGAACCTCATACTGTTCAAACCAAAAGTCCTGACACTTGCCAGCAGTGGCAGCCTCCTCATCCGGCTCGTAGATCTGGGGGCTCGCACTCCTGGGAGGATTTTGGCACAGCCCAGCAGCCCTTTCAGGGGTGTGAGCCCTTGGATCTGCACCCCAGATGAGAGGAGGCTCAGGCTGCTTCTCCCACCTGGGACTGGTTCTGTGTGCGGGCTGCACTCAACAGCAGACAAGATTGGTGCTAATGCTGCTGCTGCTGCAGCCTGAGCCTCCTCTCATCTGGTGCAGATCCAAGGGCTTGCACCCCCAGGAGGAGGCTGGCATAGCCTGGCAGCCCTCCCAGGGGTGCGAGCCCCTGGATCTGTGCCTCAGATGAGAGGAGGCTCGGGCTGCCTCTCCCACCAGGGACTGGCGCTCCCCACTCATTTCCCTGCCCAGGTCCAGCTCCCCTGCAGCTTACCAGTAACAGCAGCTGCACTCTTGGCCTTGTGGCACAGCCCCCCTGTACAGCAGGGGGCAGCATGGCTTGGCCCCAGCCGCCAGGTATCTGCGCAGCCTCAGCCGCAACGCATGCTGCCAATCTGCATGCTGGATGACAGGAGGCTGCTGCTGCCTGGGACCAGTGCTGGGCACAGTGTGTGGCCAGTGCTGGGGAGATTGGTGGTGCCACTGGCCTCCATCAACAGCGACAGCATGCTGTAATCCCACGCGCAGATCCGGGGGCCTGCACCCCCCGGGAGGGCTGCAGAGCTGTACCAGACTACTCCTGAGGGGCACAGGACCCTGGATCTGCATGCCGGATGACAGAAGGGTGCTGCAGCAGCACCAATCTTCCCGGTGCTGGGCGTGGGCTGCATCCAGTGTAGGTCCCAGGCAGCAGCAGCCTCCTGTCATCCAGTATGCAGATTGGGGGCCATACCCCCAGGAGGAGTCCAGCACAGCACTGCAGCCCTCCTGGGGGTATGGGTGACTCTCCGATCTGCGTATCGGGTGACGGGAGGCTGCTGCTGTCGCCTGGGACTGGCACTGGGTGCTACCTGTGCTGAGTGCTGGGAAGACTGCTGCTGGCCCCAGCTGGCAGCCACAGCACGCTGTCAGCCTGCACACAGATCCAGGGACCCACTCCCCTGAGAGGGCTGCGGGGCTGTGCCAGATTCCTCCCAGGGGCCGCAGCCCAGGATTTGCGTGTTGGATGACAGGCTGCCGCTGTCGGCTGGGACTGGCGCTGAAGCCAAGTAAGCTTGGCTTCAAAATTCGAAACGTTTCAAGTGTCCTTGTTTCGTTTTGAAGGGTTTTGTTTTGTTTCGATTTAGCTGTTTTGAGCTCAAAACGCATTGAAACACCTAGAGAAATTTCGCACAGCCATAGTGGAAAATGCACTTTTTAGTTCTCGGTTTGAGGGGAATGGATAGTAAGGTCCAAGGTTGAGAAGCATTACTGTGACTACTGAATGTCTGTAAATTTTCTATTTTATAAAATGCAAAACATAAGTGCATACTTGGCAACATGGCTTCTCTTTAAAACTTCCAATTTTAGTGTAGCTTTTTGGTATAACCTTACTTTTTTGCCACCTACATTTTGTGCATGTTCTTGTTGAAACATGGCAATTTAAATTCTTAAGCCATGTCATCTAGGCTGATATGCGAGTGATATGATACTCTTTTGGGAAGGAGTATTTGTTATCATCAATATGCCACTTCTTGTAGATTTGAGACTGAATGGTACATGAGTTTGGGAGTGAAATATTAAGGGATGAGCCTTTTACTTCTAGGAACGAGCTAGGTTTGGTAGTTAACCAGTCTTTACCGTCTGCTGATTTGGCCTGTATGGAAAGAGTTGATGGATTCGGTAAGTGGACAGGAGGTCCGCATCCAGAATAACTATTGCAGTTTGAACTATTTTGTACTTTACTGACAGCCTTGGCTAGAGGCTAAATGCTAAAAGCTGTGTGTAGTCTTGCTTCAGGAAAACACCATCTGTACAACTTATTTCAACTCTATAAAGGGATAACACACAAGGTTGCATTACCCTTTTTGTGCTTTTAAAAACTTTAATTTAAGCTCTTTAATATATATTAAAAATAACAAGTTATTGCTTGTTTATGCTTAGCTGCTGGCTGATCATGTTGATTTTAATCCTTTGGCTTAGGAAAGCCCTGGGCTATATCTTTTTTTAAATACTAGACTACTGAAGAAAAGTCTATCAATTTATTAGCGGAAAGTGGATTTTTTAAAAGGCCTGGGGTAACTATTAAACAGAATACATTTCTATTGATTTAATCATTTTAAAGATTTAACTTTCATAAATAGTACATTTTTTTTTTTTTCTTCTCTCCCACTCTATCATACACATAGTTGCTATAAAAATGATATATGTGGGGGTGTGTCTGTTTGTGGGTGTGTGTGTGTACTCTAGTTGCTATAAAATACGTTATACAATTATAGTTGCTATAAAAATAAATCATACTTTATATTTGGAAGCAACCAATGTGTAATAACTATTGATAACACTTGTATATTTTTGTGTGAATGCTGCACGTTTATAGGTCCCTGGGTCACTGGTTTTGTTTTTTATTCAAAAAGCAGTTGTCCATGCACATACTAGTCTGTCTTTCACAGTTTTCCGTAAGTTTTAGCCACTTTTCTTTCACTGTGTTTAAACTCAGATCCATCTCCAAGGCAACATGTACCATGAAGATTGTTGATTTTCCATAAAATTCCCCAGCTGTTGGCTCTGTTTACAGTAGGTTTAATTTGTTAGATAAAGTACAGGACATACACAATGTCTAGTGGTATTATGACTTTGGAACATGACCAGCTGAAAATAGTTTTTAGTTGGCTGAACTTCTCAGTCACTGTCATGAGGCCCTAGATTTCTGTCTTCATACTACTGATGGCCCAAAACATTAATCTGTTGAATACTGTGGGAATATTTATTCATTTGGCTGACAGGCTGAAAAATGCTTCCAGGCTAATTGTTTCAGATTAGATGCCAAAATGAAAATGTATCTTTTGCAGTAGAAGGTAAAAACTACCTCTATTTGAAGTTTGAATGTAGGGCTGTGTAGTTTGTTTTCATAATGTATACATTTATAATGTTGCAGTTATAATATGCTCCTGAACAGAGAAAATGAGTGCATGTAAATGCTTTGGGTATATCTTACCAAGGTTTGACTAAATTGATTCTTGGTAACATAATTTAAGTTAAGCAAATGGTTTGGGTAAACGTTTTGAAATTACACATACTTTTTAAAAAGTGTCTTGCATCCAATGCAAAAGTGTCTTCAAACTCTAAATGGATTTTTGTTTTCCTTTTGGTATAGGACGTGTATGATACAGAAAGTGTTGGAAGGACCTTTATATGAGAAACCAAACTAAGCTGGACAAGACGCAATAAGCAGTAGAAAAGGTATGCCAGATGCCTCTATCTAGCTTTTAATGTTTCTTTCCCTTTGAGGCAAAAATACCTTTTTAGTGTACAGTTTTTACATGGTTGGCAAGAATACTTTATTGCAGTGATTGGCTAATAAGTTTTTATTACTTTTTCTGGCAGAAGTTTAGTTTCTGATGCTTAAGCTATTTATCTGTAGATATCTTTCTCTAAACTAGTTTGTGTAGCTGTGATGGCAGATCTGCTGTTATAAATGTAGACTAGATTTTCCATAAAGCCTATTTTAAAAAAAAAAAAAAAATCAATTTAAATTATTGTCTTATTTATTTTTTGAGGCAAAGGTAATGTTATTCGAAAGGAATGGAGTGACTTGTACAACCAAAGTTAAGTACTGGCCATTTCTGTTATCCATAACTAATTAGACACGGGGGTGGGCAAAATGTGGCCCGCGGTCTGGATGCGGCCTGCCAGGCCATTCTATCTGGCCCACGGGGCCCTTAAAAAATTTAGAAAACTAATATTTATCTGTCCCTGGCTGCCTGTCATGCGGCCCTCCATGGCTTGCCAAAACTCGGTATGAAATACTTGGTACTCCGCCCAAAATAATTGCCTACCACTGAGTTAGAGTTAGGAGAAATGTTATTTAGAGCACTCTTGTATTGCAGTGGATTGAATGCTGAGGTTGCTTTTATTTCACTGGCTACAGCAGGGGTATCAAAGATATTGATTGGCCTGCAGTGCTCCTGGAGGGGCTGGGAATTCAGAGACTTGCAGCTGGATTCCAGTAGAGGGAGCCACATTGGGCATGTGTGTTGGCAGCAGGGTGGGTGAGCAACAGGTGTGCGAATCCATGCTTCTTGGGAACCCCCAGCTGGTGCTGCTGCTGCTGCTTGCCCCACTTCCAGAGAAGGGTCCAGATCCCTCCCATAAGGAGCCCCATAGTCTGGATCTGGCTCAGGGGTCCAAAGGAGTTTGCATCATGTGTTCATACCCTTACTGGTAGGATTGAAGTTAGGGCAACGATGGTATGCACTTGTTAGATGACTGCCCCTTCATAGCTGAAGTTGCTATTTGTTTCTGTTATCCAGCCAGTATTAATAGTGCTCCATTTATTATGTAGGCTACAGAGTTTTTTCTACATGTTAAGGTTCTCTTAATCCAGGGGTGGGTGAAATAGCAAATCTGGCTGGTGTCTGGACTCTGTTTCCTAGCAGCCCCTGCCTGCGTGGCACCCGGCCGGTCTCAATGGAGCTGCAGAACCGGGCCTCTGCCCTGGCCTGACTGGGCCCCATGTTGTCGCGGCCCCGTGCTTCCAGAGTCTCCTTGGAGACTGGATGGGATTCATGTGGCAGGGTGTGTAGCTGGGCAGGGAGCTGCTCTGGGGTTAGGGCTAGGATTTTGCAGTGGTGACAACACAGGGCCCAGGTCTAGGCATAGCTGTGATCTGCTCCCTGCATGCCCCTGCCCATGGAACCAACACTCATCACGGGTGTGCGGGCAGCAGATCGCGACTGCCCTTGCCCCAGTCCAGCGCTGTCACTGCCCCAAGATCCTGGGGTCTCCCTGGCACTGCCCACCCATCTTGCCCTTGGCCGTAGCCCTAGCCAGCTTCCTGGCTATGAGACTGCCCATATGGGTCCTGCCCCTGGAGGTGTGTGTGGGGTGTATGGGCCAGGATATCCGGGCAGCAGGGCTGGGTCCAGCTGCAGCAACCAGAAGGAGCCACTGCCACAGGGGCTGCTGGGAAATGGAGTCTGCTACAGGCTGGACTCAACATATTGCCCTAACTGCCCACCCTGTTTTAATCTGTTGGTATATAAGGAGGCATCTTTCCCCCACTTTATATCTGGGGTGACTTGTAGTTTCTAATATCACCGGTTTAGGAATTAATATTATGAAGATTTGTAAGGGGATGCATACTTCAAATTTGATTCAATTTCTTCAAACTTCTTTAGCAAAAGGAATTGTTTTTAGCAAGTTTCCTTTGATGTGTCTTGTTTCTTTAAACCAGTGGTTCTCAACCTTTTTTGGATTCAAGGCACCCATCAAAATCTTTTCAGAATTTAGTCGCACCCCATGTGTAAAAACAAATTTTAAATATTGTGAATAATAAATATAACTGCATCATTAATTAATATGTTAGTAATGGATTGGATTGGATTGGATTGGATTAGATTCCCCCCACTGCCTGCATAGTGGCAGTTTGGATAAAAAGTGCATCTGAGTTGTATACAGGGCCAAAATAATTTTTTGAGCTCAATTCTCTTTTCTACCTAATGATTTAAGTATGTTGGATTGCATTAACTAACTCCATCTAATGCCTTCTAAAACAAGGCAAGGCATGTTATGCCTTTAATCTTTCCTAAGTAGTTGAATTGAGATCTAGGAGGATTTGGGGCTTCAATTGAACCAGTCACTTTGCGTTAAAAGTGTATGTTGTTTTATCTACCCTAATATTACACAATATTAAATAATGTTCAAAACACCTTAATGGTTTATTCCTACCTTTATGGTAAAACTGTCTCTTTTTTTTTTTTTTTCAAGCCAGGAATTCTATCTAGTTTTCCCTTAATCTTATGCTTTTTTCTTTAAAGCGAAACAAACAAGATCCTTTTTTTACCCAGTTTTAAAAATATACCGTACCCAAATCCAAGGCAACTTTGAGTTCAAGATGACCCCCTCCAAATTAAAAGGCAATCAGGAAATTGCCTTTTCCTCTAGATCAATATGGCTGCAACCTGGGTACCCCTCCAAATTAGATTCTATACATGAAAAATGATAAATTTCCTTATAATTCTCTTTGTAAAGAATTTAACTATTGAAGGGTCATCTCAAATTTTGTCCCCCTCATGCTGGAGCAGGGAAAGGAAAAGTAGGGAAGCAAGTGACGGGGTGGGGGATAAGCAGCATGACCCTGGACCCTTACCCCCTTGTATCTTGCTCTCATGCCTGCCCAGCCCCACATGCCTCCTCTCATGCTGGTCCCCATGGCCACTTGGAAACGCCCCTCGCCCTTCCCTCACCACTGCATGCTGCCCTCCCACTGAGTGTCTCCGTGCTGGGTCCCTCTGCTCTTTGGTTGTGTGCTGGGTTCTGTACTGCATCCTGGTTCTGCACTGATTCTCCCACCACTCCCTGGCTCAGCAGGGAGCCAAGAAGCAGTGCAGGACCCAGTGCGCAAACAAGAGAGCATCAAGGGACTTTGTGCTGATTACTGCACTGCTTTCTGGCTCCTCTGGCCCTGCTGCTCTCTGCTGAGCCAAGGAGCAGTGGGGAAATCATCACAGACACATGCTACAACAGGGCTATTCAACTATTAAAATGTTCATTAAAGTAGTAGGATAGAAATTACTCAGCATATTGGTTTCCTAGATGTTCATTTACTCATACTGGATGGTTACATTTGTTTGTTCTTTTTAGAAGAAACCTTTTTGTTTTGCCATACAACTTTTAGTGCTGGAAAAGCTGAAGTCATAATTATAGTTCACTTTTTTAAAACTCTACTACCAAGACCTCCACAAAAGAACTATTTTAAGTGTGTTTATTTTTGGAAAACAAACGCCAAGTACTAATCTAAGTGATACACGGGCTTGGCTGTTGGTTTAGTGGCCATGTGCTGCCACATAGTAAGGACTTGGAGTTGTAGAAACCATACCTCTATATGAATAAAAACTGTAGTTTGTGGTATCAAGTCTGATAGAGTCCAGGAGTACAGTGCAGAGTAATATATTTAGTTGCTCTTTGTAGTCTTAACAGAACTGTAAGTAGTGAATATTTGCATATCACATTTAGTTATTACCTGGCTTTTTATAAAAAGCTGGTATCAAAACTGCAAATAAGTCTTCAATGAGAAATAAATTAGTTCTAAGTTGTAGTAATAGTTACACCCATGGAGACTATCAATATTAGCATACTACATTAATGCTCCTCTCTGCATAGGACCTTTAAAACAGAAAAATGCTTAGCTAAAAATCACTTGGTAGGGAGACAGTTTTAAGTGGCATCCTTTTTAAGGCTAAAAATAGTCGTTTTTAGTGCAGAAGAGATGCATATTTATCTAACTGATTAAAATGTTAATTCTAAGGTTACCTATTTCTAGGGTAGTTCATGTCACGCTTAGCCAGGCCCTGGTACATATCCACCAATTCTTTAGAATTTGGGGCAAAGAGTTGTGTTTTTGCTCTTATATACCAGTCTCTCTGTTGTAATCCTTGTTCATTCTGGGTTACTTGCCACTTGCTGTTTTGCATCCCCAGTGGGGCTGATGAACCAGGAGTTGCAATATGGCTATCATGACATATGTCCACCTATAGTAATGGGGGCACCCTACCATTATTTCCCACATACTCTGGATATGTTTTTTGCTTTCTGGGATATATCAGGGAAGCATACACTGATGCCTTTTCCCTTTATCTTCAATGCCTCTTGTCTTTCTGGCTCCAAGTCCTCCCTTTTATTTCTTTCCTTCTGCTGTCATTTTTTTGTGTTTGGTTTTCTTGGGCCTCCCCTTGACTTGACTCACTCCCTACTAAACTGTAGTAGGAGTGCTAGTACTGTTCCCAGGCTGTTGCCATACCTAAAAATATGATTTTCTTTCCACTTTGGTTTTTTTTGTGGCTCCCACATGTAATGCGTTGAGGCACCTGAGGGAGGCGCTATAGGAAACACATGCTGAAATATTTCTCTATGTTTATACATTGTTTACACAAGGGGTTCTTTTTTTGTAACTTGGGCTTTATGTTTCATGGTAATTCTAAAACACAAATAACAAAGCAAGAACATTCTAGGGTGATTGCAGTATTTTAAATAAGTTGTGGCAAATGTCTGGGCTTCTATGTTAAACTCGAGCAACATGTTCTTGCTAAGGCCTGTATGGTCATTCAGGGACTTCTTACCACAGTTAAAACTTCCTGTAAAAATTAAAAAACTAAGTAAGCTGTTCTATTTAGTTCTTTTAGTACAGCTCCTCTGACCTAAGTACAAACATTCAAAAAGCCCGAGCCTAAATTGATTTGATC